ACGCCCACCGATCATCTGATCACTCGCCGCAGGTCTATACGTGGCGAGTGATTAGATAGGTGAGAGAGCGTAGTGTTGAAGAGGGCACAGCGATGATAGTCGCATCAATGCTCAAATCAACGGGCAAGGAAGGGGTCCCATTTAGGACCCGTTTTTCATGGCTGTTCGTAAGTAGCCATTCACCATCCCTAAAGTTGCGCGATTTGTGCCGATTGAAGCCACCCCGGCCGACTACTCGAGCATCTCTACAGGCCGTCCCAAAATATGAGCGCGCATACACAATACCAATGTATTTGCAGCATTCTTAAAACGGAAATGCTCAACTGGACTATTATATCCGTAAGTTGCTTGCATCAAACGACAACAATCAAACGGCGTCAACATCCATGTCCCACTTGAGCCACGATAGACTCTAGAATCGCCCACTTCTCAGACTGCGCAGGGCTGGCGCGCAGGTATTCTAAAGCGCCATTTCTTATAGCGAACCCACTCATTGCAATGATGCTTTCATGAGCTCAGAACTAAGAAGGCATATCCGACAGAACTTACTTTCAGACAGGGATCACGCTTGGGTATGAGTCCCTCGCTGCTAGCCAAGCCTGGGGGTTAGAACTGTCACCACTCCAGATCAAAATTGGGTCTACGGGCTGGCATTGTCCTACTGAAAACACCTCGGTTTTTTTCCAAAAAGTGAAGGCCGAACACCTACTTCGCTCATCTCAGATGTACGCATTGTAATCCTTTCACTAATAATCTACCAGGAAGACACTGGTGGACATGAAAAGATGAAGTGGAATCGGATGTAAGCCGAAATGAACACATCTCTGTCTTCTGCCAGGTTCCCTCGCTGTAGAAATCTTCTTTAAAAGGAGGTAAGGGTGCGTGTCCTCTACGAAGAGGTCAGCAAGCCAACATGATCTTTACCTTTCACTACTTGTTGATATCGGATATGAGATGGCACTACTGTGTACGATAGGAGCGGCTATGTGGCTACTAACCATCTGCCCCAACGACGATCTAGGCTCGTTTAGATCCTTTGCCAATCTTCTGACGCAGCGTCGTGGGTTGCGGCCAAATGGAGAATGAAATGTAGCAGTCATTTTTTCTCAAACGAGCGCTTTCTTCCTCTTTCGGGTCTACGTATAATGGACACTTTCACCATTTTACCAAGTATGATAATCATAAAGCAGCCCTTCTGAATAAGTTCGACAGTATTCATGGGTAATCTGCCCTTCGTTGCAGGTCCTGTCTCATGAATCTGAAATGATCCAGTCACCCTGGCGTTCCGCAACCAGGATAAGCGAAGCGGTACGAGAAAACTTCATGAAAATAAAACACTTCCTCAACCCTCTATCCGCAGACGCGGCGATAGCCATCCGAAACGAGAAAAGTTTATTATACCATGATCCTCCACAAAAACTATTCATCAAGAAAAAGCATCTGTGCTACCTACGCACACTGACGTCAACCCCACAGCGAGTTACACGGAACGTGCAATAGTCAGACGAGCAAAGTGCAAAGCATTCGATCACCAAGGAGTCCTACACATAGAAGGGAGGGCACAAAAATACAGACGAACAGTCATTGGAAAAAAGACGGGCCATGCACAACTCTGTTTCTTCTTTACGCAGTTATAGGCTGCCGCAACACGATACCGCGCGCCAGAACAAAGGGGCCTGAAGAGCTGGACTGTCGTCGCCAAGGTGAACAGTGCCGTTGCGCACTGTTCTCGTCCCGTCAACAGCACTTCTGTATTCTGAGTTATTCGGGAGGGGCCGTATTTGAGGAGGTTGGTAGGGAAAACGGCGTTGCTCTTATGTATTTGGGGATGAAGAGCAGAATGAGGGAAGTAGAGAATTTCCCGCTTTAACCGCGTTATAACCCCCTTTCCGAACTTGTTCGAGCACTCTGCACAAAAACCGATATTTTCGATCGATATCGATCGATAACATGTGACCCATCTAAAATCCAACTCCTATGACACTACCCAATCAATATTGTGATTCGCTTAGCAATTCGAGACCACTGCACAAAAACCTACATTTTCTACGGAGATCCCAGCGTAAGTTCCGCCCACCTGGTCGGACTCCGCCCACTACCGTACCTTTTCTAACCAAGCCTTGCCTTCACCCTACACCCTCTAGGGGCAACTTCCTACCTATCCGGGACCATGCCACACACCCATCGACCATGCCCCAACTGGCTTCTTCTGCCTACGTCTGCGTAACGTGCGAGCCTAGTGGTTACAAACAGACAGACAAACACACCAAACTGCTGCTTTCTGTATAAGAGGGATTCCTCTGGAAGGCTTACCAAATTTTCGTGCCATGCTCTCAGTCTGCACCACTTTTCGGCTGAAAAAAGCCTCGTAACCGCGTTAGCCATACCAAGCTGATCTGAATCTTTGCACGTTGAAAAAACACGCAGGAGCCAAGACTTATACTCTCTTCGCGATTTGAACACACTTCAAATGATATAACTTTCTCAAATAGAACGCATTTCCGCCCATCTGAAAAACCAGATTTGAAGTTTTGTGAAAGCAGCTCTTCTAAACATGTACAAAATCAGCAGGAAACAATTAACAAATAACCCATTTCAGAATGAATTAAGGGAGAAGAATCGAATCGAGCGCGAGTTTTTCAAATCTCTAAAGCCATATTCGCTCTCATTTCATCAAATTCGAAAACTAATAGCGAATCTATAAACTGGAACAATAAATGCTACTACATTCAACGGTGCAACTAATGACTGAAATCAATCAGTTCATGATATTTTCAAAATGGTCACAGTTAAGATATGGCCCTGAGTTATACCGCTTAAAAGATATTTCTTGCGCGCTGCATGAGAACTCCATTTCAACGGACCTCTTTCCTCCAGTGGCAATTTTTGCCAAAAATGGAGTACAACGGAGAGAGCAGATGAAGCCTTTTATCCTTCTAACACCAGTGTAAAATGCTTCGCGAATCTCGACTTTACACTTACATTTCATAGATTTGAAGAACGCGCTGAAAGTGTCAATATCTTGTTTGAGTACAGTACAATTTCAATTATAATTTCCCATAATTCTATCGAATCCCCTTGAACTTGCGTTTTTCTGAATTAGAAGTTTTACCTCCAGAGAGCCGTAATTGAGCGCCTGCGAAATTAACTGGAACCCCACTCCCAACGAAACACCGCCGCCGCAGTGCTTATACACAATCCCTTCACGGAATCCACGACTCATTATAAACGGATAGAATCCACGCAGTCTTGCAAGCGTGCAAATATTCGAATATTTTCACCCCTGTTTTGCTGATAGAACTAAGGTATAAAGAATCACTACGACGCCCCTCTGAATCCACGAAGCCATTTTAAATGTGGGCGCAATAACAATTGCTATTGGAAATCTCTTGGCGCTGCGCATCGACTCGATTCTTGATTTCTGTCCTGCCGAAATTGATATCTTACTACCGTCAGATCACCAGCCCGCATTTCCTCATAGCGGCCAATACGACCCCCCCCCCCCCCCTGACTCCCTCTCTGTCGACGTGTCAAGGATTCCTCAACGCACGTTTGACTCTGTGCGCAACCCTGAAAATAGTAAACAAAGAGAGATTTCAAGAATTCCTTCTTCATGATTGGCTGATAACGGACCAAGTGATAAGAATCTGTAACATTTGCTCAACGAATTGTTCTTTGTTCCCATCCAACTTTGAAACACACCGTCTCCCTTCTTGTCCAATTCCACTCCACCAGTATTTTCAGACCATTATGGTTTTAATCCTCGCTGATACATTACAAATCTTGCTTTCCGCGAGAAGGCATTTTAGGAGCTGCTACGTGTTTGCCTTTCTGCCTTTCTGCTTCACTATCAACAGCGGCGAATTGAATTTGTCGCCTCGCATAAACTCTCATAATAATTGCCCTTGAGCAGCCGCAACACAGCATATTCGCAATTTTGGGGAAACTGTGCATAAGTTTTCGATATCTCTCCGAGATTTTCTTTCATATTTTGCTCGATCGTGCTATCGTATTTGTAAGGTGATAAATTGCTTTTAGGTAATATGGCACTACTTTTTAAGAGTTTTCAAATTTTTTTTGTTTTATCCTTCCTACTTACATTTTTGGAACTACGGACCATTTGTAAACAGGAGCAAAGAAGACGAAGTCGAGGCAGGAAGGGGGGTCCAAGACTTTTGAGAAAAAATGAACACTGCACCAGGATTCACCCCCAGCACTCAACGCTTTCTATGAGGGCCTTTCCTATTTCTTGTTATTATAGTGGGAAAGTCGGTGCAGATCCCTTTCAAGGCACTAATCTATTGAATCCTCTAAAAATCAGCAGCACCAACCCACTGTAACACGAACGATCCCCCAACTACAAAATGAAGCCTTAAAGAACATCGCGATATATCTGCATTTTGCTGATAGTTCAACAGTTGTAATTATAGAGCAAACAATAGGAATAAACTTCAACTCGGATAATCATTTCGTTGCAGAACACCTACTCACATTATGTGGAAGGGTCGTCACCAAACATCCCGCCCAGGCACTCCAGAACACACACTCCGCTTACCGCAAGTGCGCTACAAATTACGCTACCGGGGCATAATCATTCCAGCTCAGCTTTTCATGGTATCCGAACCATAACTTGTCAGCACTCATACATTTAGCGTGTTGAGCCGGTTAGCCGGTATTACAGCACTGACGTAGTACCGTAGACGTTTTAGAACAGGTTTAGAGACAAATCATCGAGGAGTTTCCTTCCTACAGAAAAGGGGATAGCTATAGACAGCGCATTCATCCTACAAAACCATTTTCGCAGTTGGATACCCTTTCCCACGAAGCTAACTTACGCCATCGCGTGCCTCGACCGAACCAGCATACGAACAGCAACGATATACAAAACTAGGGATAGCCGTAAGGGATTTTTTCCTTCGTAATCAGAAAGCGGGAGATGAAAAAGGGCTCTGCGATTGCTGATTTAAAATATAGTAGAGAAGCAATCTTATCAGACTGACCGTTGAGGAGTCTGAGGTTCGTAACGGTTCGACAGGTCCTCGATGTTGACTTTCCATTGACCCTAGGGGGCACGCATCCCCATCTCATCTTGCTCGCCAACAGCAAAAAAAACCACATCCCACCTTATTAGCCGAAAGCCGCTATAAGCCTTTTCCAGAGTTGAGCAGACCAGAAGACAGCGCTCATGATTAAACGGTGCAATTTCTTCGATGTTCGGCTGAGGCATTGAACGTGCGCGGCGGGCAATAAACATGATTCACCGCGCTGTCAGCGGATATGTGGTTGTCTCGGGCTAGGTCGGCAAGGGGACCGGGAAAGAACTCCGCAGTCTAACGAGCCAAGTCACTACATAAAACTCAATTTATGACACAATAATTATGCTTATACCCACGGCCATCAGTGCTACTTGCGATTGCTTTGACGGTAACGGCCTCGCATTGATGGGTAGCTATTTAGAAAAGGCCGACCTCAAGCATAAGCGTAGCAGTTTCGAAGCCAAGTAGACCGACGAATGACTAACTCATTACTTTCATCGCATGCTTTTACTCCAGACTACTTGTCGTCTCACATGTACTGTACAGCCAATCAGGCAATGAAGAAATAAAAAAAAGGCTGAGAGCAGAGCACCCATCTTTTTGTTGCTACGCTAGCGCTCGTAGCTCACGTTTTAGAGCTTTGGCGATTCCACTTATGAGAAACGACCGTGAGGTTTGGACAATCTGGCGGTTTCTGATGCATATTCTTCTTCTTTCTGACCACGTCGGAGTAGAAAACTTCAATTGTTCAGTCGGTGATCACATCTGAAATTCTGGACTCTTTCGAAGGATACGGTTTTTTTTGCAAGGTACTCTTGGATACAAGTGGTGAGGATAGCTTATGCGCTTACCCTATCTCTTCGAGTGTCAAGATTTAGATATATTCCAGTATTGCCCGGTAGTAGCAGATCTAGCTCTCTATCTTACCCTACCCCATACCGAAGTCAAGGTTAAATTCGAGCAGATGCTCTGATGGCGGAACTTGTTCCCAAATTTAGACAGACCACCTCGAAACGAAAAATAATTGACACTGGCTTCTCAGATCCATACGGACCTGTCGAGAGAGCGTGGGGCAACACGGCTCAAACTGTAATATTATACAATGACCCAGGGAGGTGGTAGGCGAGAATCGAGGCGGAATAATGTTAGACGAAACAGCACTGTTTCGGAACGGGGAAGCTCAGCAAATTGCCACACAGAAGAAGTGTGCCTACAGCGAGTTGCAGAAGTCACTAAGCCCGGATGATGTGCCTGCCTACAAAATATCTGCTTACAAAACTTGGCTGGCAGGAGACTAGCCACGGATGTCGTTGCTAAGGCAAAAGATCTGACATCCTTATCCAATAGCCTGGCAAGCCGAAACGCAGAAAAATTTGTCTTAATGCAGCCTAAAGATTGTCACCGAGCTACTCAAGACAGTCACAACCAGCAACCATTGTGCCATCCGAAGAAAATTGAGAAATCGAAAAGCGTAAGAGTATTGCAATAAGCTTATTGATGAAGAGCAAGAGCAGCTCATCAATGGAACAGACAGCTGGTCTCCTCATCGCTTTCTCAATCATGAGGTTCGACGGGCATAAGGGACATGAAGCTTAGGTAAGCAGTTGGTTCGGATAGAGTACCAATGAGGAAGGCTTGGAGGCATCGAAGGCGCTAAGAGAGCGCTGGATATATGTAGGTAGTTAACAGCTTCTTGAGCATGGTCACCGCGAAGCGATGGGTGTTGGAGGCCTGAAGAACAAGTACCATCTGTTCCACCTTCAAGCCAAGGGGATACTGTGGGGTTATGTTGACGTAGCATAACATGTTTCATAGAAGGGGTTCATCGACTCAAAGCCCAACCAGAGTTGGTGCGGATTCAGCCCTGAAAGTTCTAACCTAGAACGTATGTACAGGGGTAGCCAAAAAAAGAGTCACTCCTACTCACATTCAAAACAGAATTAATTACACTTTGCCAAAACCAAACCGAATGAGCTCAATTGCATATTGAAGAGCACATTCTATTCTATCAAAAAAATTACATAGGGCCTTCTACACCGACGACATCAGAAGATTTTCCCACGGAAACATGGTTCACGGTACGAGCTCAACGAGGTCGTCGAGAACCATAGACGATTACGACGTCTCTGAAACGCTGGTCAAAAGCCATCTTGCATAGTCAGAGCTAGTGTCCCTAAGAAGCCATTCACCAGTTATCCGATTGAAGAAATTATGTAGCAGCTTCAGAATGGAGCGATTATGGTAGGCCTCCTTGAGCTCGACGGTGATGACAGATGACGTCATATTCTGGAGACGGTGAAGGCAGCGAAGGTGGGCCTGATTCTGCTTATGGGGGGACATCTAAGGAATATTTCGCCGTATAACTCCCAATAACAGCGGCATCCTTTGCGACGAAAAGTTTGATGATATGCGCCATGGGCAAAGTGACTCTTTTTTTGGCCCCCCTGTACAGGGACTCAGCACGGAAGCCCGGTGATCATAAACGAGTAGCTCCAGTGAGGTCAAAGCCACGGCAAAAGAAGTCAAAGAATAAATGTGGCGACGACTAACAAGGACACTGCAACAGCGCAGCGTAATGTAAGTGAAAGAAGTATACTTATGAGTTCATCTGAAGTTCTCCTTTGCTAGAAACTCCCATTTCACGTCCATTCCGTTTATAGGTTTTAGAGTTGGAAAAGTTGGTCGTTTCAGCTCGTGACTGGACCCTACAGTGCGCATTATAGCATAGATCGCAGCTTCAAGCGCGTTGACCCATGACACATTACACAAGAAGCAAGTCTTTAGATTGGCGAATCTGCCTTGTGCAATTCATTTCGTTGCATAGTCCGCGACTTGAGGACTATTCCGTAAGACGTGTATATTGAGCAGAGCCGTTTATTCTATCACAATTGTGTGATGAGCACTGCTCTAGCATGTCAGTGCTATTCACTGTAAAGGAATCTTCCACGGAAAATGGACCAGTGGGCGGGACCGGAAGTGGTTTTGCGACGAAATGCATGGTAGGTACGGATCCACGTTCATGGGAAGGTTTGAAGTGAATCCTGTTCACGTTCGTGCGTTCGACACGTGGATCCGTACCTACCATGCATTTCGTCACAAAAACTTCCGGTCCCGCCCACTGGTCCATGGTCCGTGGAAGATTCCTTAAACGTCTTGCATTGTATAGTATAGGTGAGTGTTTCGCTGATGTATAAAGTTCGGTTCTTGAAGGTGTTGCGTATTCAACCGTATGGCACCTGCGCCAAACTGACTTTGTCTTCTAGCAATAGAGCGATCCAAAGCATCGCACCTCAACTGTGCAAGAGCGCCCTTGACACCATGGCCTTGAAAGGAATCTTCCACGGAAAAACTCCGCCTCCATTCCCACAAAAAAAACGATACCTTAGGCCCCTTGCTCATGAAGATAGCAAAAAGAACGGAACATAAGCGATGGTTTTGATAATAATTATGATAACCAGTTCGACTATGAAAATTTTGAATTCCCGCTGTAAAACTTCCACAACTGTTAGCGGCGTGGAGTCAACACGTGCAAACGTGTCAAAAGCGTGAACGTGAACAGGATTCATGTTGGACCTTCCCATAAACTGACACGTGGATCCGCACCTGCCATGCACTTCGTCACAGAAGCACTTCCGGTCCCGCCTACTGGTCCAATCCGGTCCCACAGATGGGTCTTTCCAGGTGGCTGTTTCTTTCATCATTTTCGCTCCGAACTTTGCACATGGTCTTCAATGACCATGCCCAACACCTGCACACAAGATAAAAATGACCAGTTTTTCGTGGAAGATTGCTTTACACGGAAGGACAACTTTAGTTACAGATCCCGAGCGTCATCGAGACACTATAGAAAAGGGTAGAGAAGAGTCTGGCAAAAAAGAACTAGGAATATAGCGAGAAACTCTTCAAATTTGAAGAAAATTGAGGAGGTTGTCCCAATAGATAGTGCATTCATTGAGTTCCACACTTAGGCCCTGTTGAGGTTTCAGCAACTCCAAAAGGCTATTAACAGAGTACTGAATGTGCTTGTGTTTTTTTTTATCCATTCGTTCGATTGTTTTGTTGAATTATAAGCTTTCTACAATAATTTGAAACCTACTTGGAATTTGGGCATACTCAAAAGGATAAAACTTTTGCCATTGGCCAATCCC